AGGGGGGATTATACTATGCAAAAACAATTGTTAGACTACAGTGATTTGCGTCCATCGATATTAAATTTTCTGGTCATAAAATAATTTATCTAGTGAAAAGTAGATTTGCCAAAATGCATTACTATCTATGTGCTCAAAAATTTTCTCTGACAACTCTTCTTATGTTATATAATACATTTTATTACGATATCATGGCTTCTTTTCATAACTGATTACAATTTACAATGATCTTTTTGATGTGTGATAATAGACATAACATGATCTTTACTTTCTCCATTGTTGTTTCGCGCAACGTCTCTTCTTTCGTAGAAAATAGTTNACTTTCTCCATTGTTGTTTCGCGCAACGTCTCTTCTTTCGTAGAAAATAGTTCTTTAATATTCTAATTTTTCAAAACCGAAAAAAAAAATATTAAAAGCGTAATGAGCATGTTCTTTCTACTATATTACTTTGTAATTTTTCACAAATAATTAAATATCTCATATATAAATATATTACACTCTGTACTGTAACATTATAAAATGTCCCATTTTATATGAAAAACAGCACAGACAGTAACACACTCAGCATTTTGAATTACGAGAAATAATTTTATTAATGCACGTATATGTACACACACATACATGCGCATGCGCGCGGTGTGTATGTTGTATATATATATATATATATATATATATATATATATATATATACATATACATACATACATACACATATGTACATGTGTGTGTATGTATGTGTATATATAAAACCTCAGACTCTAAATGCGACCAAAAGGACAACAATATACAAAGGCATCCATGTACAGAATAAAAGTACGAGAATTAACTTCGAGACTTAAATAAATATTATGATACGTATGTAGCAATGATAATGTAAGATTCTCTTTATTATGCATATATGGTTGCTGCTGTATCGTTGTCCTAAATCAACTGATCATGCCAGGTAGCTATAAGTATCCTTCTGACCCTCTGTGCGTTCCAAATACTCTTTTTCAATTAAAATATCTATACATTTCTGAAAGAATCCAACTTTTTGTCAAATAAATTGATACGATAATAACATATGAGATATTTTTATACTTTTTACCATATACACACTTACATATCAAGGTACTCTTGTAAATTAACAATTTTATAAGAAAAAGCTTCAATTCAAATAATTACTCACCTTGATAACATGCACTCTTGGCTTGAATCTGGAACTTAATTGATTCAAAACTTCTGCTACTAATTGTTGATGTTTCAATACTTTCCGCATTTTCATAATTCTAACGATTGCTGCTTGAATTAAAAGTTTTCTATCTTCTTCTATATGTTTGTGTGTGGTTTCTTGTTCAACCTTTAATTCCGTTTTCATTGGTATATTAATATTCACCCGTAATTTCTTGCTACATTGAACAAATAAGATAATTAGATCGATTGCTAATAAATAAAATTTCATGTATACAAAAGAAATTGCATATACTTCTTGTATCCCGTAAAAAGTTCTACTGTCGATAGCGGTGTCAGTTCAGCTACATCATCGCTAGCTGCGGTTAAAAGTTTGGCTTTCAGAAGTATTTGAATAACCTGTGTGTGTATGTGTGTAAATCATATATAATTTTTAATATCTTGCTATATACTGTAACCGCAACTTATCACACTCATTACACACTTCACATTACCTGTAGTAAAAAATCCATTTTTATCTGCGTAGCATAATGTAGTTGCTGTATTGTCCATGATGTAGATCCATTATATTGCAGCAAGACAGCCATTTGGAAAGTCGAGGCTTGTAATGTGTACCTGTTCTTGAAACAATTGGTATGTAACTCCCCTTTAGACATATTGTACAACCAATTTAATTTTCTGCCGCTATGCTGTGAGCTATAGAAAGTAGTAAACCTATGTACAGATCGTTCTAGCTGAAAATAATAATAATAATTGCGAGTGAGTTTGAATTCAGAGAAAATATCTTAAATTATGTTCGATCGATCGATTAACTAGTTAGTGGAAAATGATATTTTGGTGGAAAAACACCATGCTTTTTTACCTCTGTTGGCAAAGAAAATGTGAAAGACTGTTGAAATGGCCATGAACCAGAAGACAAAACTTGTATACTGAAGTCCACATCTAATGGTTCAGCAGATCTTACCAAGTGTCTTCTGAACTGTTCGTTTAAATCTTTCGACACGCCAATATCCTACGCGTGAATAACAGACTGCTATAATATTACACTGCATGTATGCATGGTATTGATGGATAATTTTTAATAAGAACAGAAATTCTGTCTTGGTATCTATCGATAGAATCTATCGGATGGAATCTATGTTTAACTTGTACATTGCAAATTAATGCAAATGCAAAATACAAGAAGGTAACTCCTACCTGAAACATGCGTTGTAACTTTGAAGTATATTCAAATCCACAAGCTTGCTTCAACTTAGAGATCATGGAAGCCTCTGCGTCATCGCTGGCAGACATGTGTTGCACCAATCGTTTCGCCAACATTTTGCTATAGAATTTCTGAAATACATCTTTATCTTCGATGTATTTAAACACTACCATCTACAAATAGGATTACAGAAATACAATTAGCTTCATATTGTTTGCCATGAGCACGACGAATACGCAAATGCTTGAAATGCTTTGTTATAAATTATGGCACTTACGACTTGATTGAGAGTATCTTCAAGCTCTGCTTCTTCTGGGTTTTTACTGCTCTTTTTGAGCAGCAAGTCACAGTATTTCGCTAATAATTCAGGTGACTTACTGCTGCTATTTGCTGCTCTTGTAACAGAATTGGCATTGATAAATCGACCACAAGCCTTATCCAAAGCTGCTACAAAACCGCTATCGTTGTTAAATGCAACCAACACTAAAGCATTATACTTCTTATGCACTTCCAAAATAGTGTTCACGTATACTTTTGGATCCTATAGAAACAGATATCACATCATGTTATCATCAGCAGTCCATTGATCTCTCTCCATCTCTCTGTGCGTGTGTGTGTGTGAATAGTTACAAAGTAAATTAATTATTTAATTAAATTTAACTATTTAATTTAATTCTTCAGTCTTCAGCTCTATATTTAGGCCTCTCATTAAGGCCGGATAAGATGGACAGAGATGAATTAAAATTCAGATTCAAATTCAGTAACTCAATATATCACAGCTCAAGAACGTAAATTTTAGTTACATTAAAATCTATACGCACATTAGCCGCAGAATCGCCACATTTATCTATAGCCGCGAGTCCCTGATTAGCTATGTGAGTTTCTAAAAGATTTCTCAATTCTCCAAGGCCATTCGGTATTCTCGCTACTAGTTGGTACATTCTGCCTAAATCTGTATTTTTATCAGCATTCAAAAGATTCTGAAATTCAGCATGAAATATGTCCATATGTTTTTCAATAAGCACCCTTTCACATGTCTTCGCTAATCGTTCGTGAGTTGTTTGATGTAAGTAAACGCGAACTCGTTTTTGTTCTTCCAATAATCTCTGTTCTGCCTGTACAGAAAAAAAAAGAATTTAAGATATATGAATTTAAGATATAAGAATGTAAGATATTTTTTATATACTTCGATGCCTCATACCTTCTTCATATACTCTGTTACAGGATTTTGTCTGAGAAAATTCAAACTTTCGTTAGAATAGAAACGTTCTGTATCTTCGAGGAATTGATTTTCAAAAGAATCTTTATACACCGTTAGATTTTGTCCTTTAGCACCTGGATCTTCTTCATTTAAACCCAATTCTACGTAACAATTAATAACACCACTGACTAATCGGGTATTAATTGTTTCTCCATTGCGTTCTCGAACGATTAATTTAAGCACTGCACTAGTAACCTGAAAAAAAAAACATAAAACAATATATATTTACTACGAGAACATTAGTCAATAAATTCAGCAAAAGGATGTTTCTCTTCACACCTGTTTGTTTAAATGCTTAAATAAATTATCTCGCCAGGTAACCAGGGCTAATTGATAAATTTCATAAATTCCTTTTCGACCTTCCTCGCATTCTCTGCGTACCCAATGACGATTCAGATATGCACATACACCATTTAACACTTTACTACTAAATTGATATTCCTCCCACTGTCTTGTGTAAAACTGCAGCACATCTTCATCCATCAAGTCAATTCCATGCTGCCGTACATACAATAATCATATTTACAATAATCATTTGTATTGTAACGAAATATTTAAAATAAGGTGTAATAATAACTTTCTTTCTAAAGCATGGCGTTTACATATTTACTTTGAGTAAACTAATAAGATAATTCCTAAGAAAGTCACGCAGACGTTTGTATAATTCCAATCCTACTAATTGTGCACCTCCTTGTGAAATTTGCCCTTTCTTACTCTTGGTCGATGTTCTGGTCAATTGTTGATGAACACTCGTACAATAATCATATACATGTCTGTAGAAAGTAGTAGTTGGGGGAATGTAGCAAGAAAATATCTCTTGTAAGGATTAGATTAGAAAGAAAAGAAAATAAACAAGAAATATTTTATCGATATCGAAAGGATACGTATACAGTTCTATGTATCTTGGTTTTGACATACACTGTCTATTATACACCTGTTCTATGCCTTCACGTAAATCTCCCCAAATTTGATCCAAGTCAATTTGTTTTAGGCCTGGAGGGCCTCCATGATGACTCCCAGCTCCTCCACCGCCTCTATGCCCAGACATTCTGTTTTTTTTATATGCTTGTCGAGTGAGCGTCACTGTTACTATGTATTACTATAATTTCTATAGAAATAAAAGAAGAAGATTAATATTCAATAATATAATATAAATAATATAATATAAATAATATAATATAAATCAATATAGATATATATATATATATATATATATATATATACATATATATGATTATATGCACGCACGTGCGTGTGTGTTATTGTATATATATATATGTATTGTCATACCAATTATCACAAGTTACAGATACATGAAAATGAACAAGCACAAAGACACAAACAATATATTTTAAATATACATAAAATTGAGATGAAATTAATATCTTTTATTCAAAATATTCTAATTTGACATCAATGAACAATTATCATTGTGCTTTAAGTTAAAATACGTATCTTTTTTTGTTATTGTCGTTGTAAATTAAATACAAAATTTATAAATAGAAAGGAAGGAAGGAAATTTGCACAATTGGCAACAAAAATTATGCAAATTTCACTAAAAAATTGCAATGCAATACATGTAAAATTTATGCATTTACGTGCGCGTACATCATTCATTTATATCTCAGTTAAGATTAGTAGAGAGTGACAACGTAAGAAAGATATGTTTCTCATGTATTATAACACCTTTTGCAATAGTAACAAACGAAAGGAAAAACACAATTAATAAAATGCGAAGTCTTGAAACAAAACCAAGTAGAGTAAGTAGAGAAAAAAACGCACTCTCACCTGTCGACGTTCACCGCATAACAGGCAGCGACGACCGAGGCAGAGAGACGGCAACTCGCCGTGAAGACGCAGTAGAGCCAGCTTTGTGTTCCGCAATCAGCGAACGTCGGACGAACACGGCGTGCGTCGACGTTGCGCTTTTCTTCGCGGAAAATATGCCACCGAATTTTTTTTGTTTTGTTTCCTACTTACGTCTTCGACAGACCGCGCACTAACAAGCGCAATAAAATTACGCAAATACTCTCTCGAATGTACGTGCCCAAAAACTACTTACGACCGCAGATCCGCTGCTGCTGTTGCTGCTTCACCTCTGACAGGTTAGGTCACAGAGTAGCCAACCGCATGTAGCAAATAATCGTCTCTACAAACAGGCGTGTTGTGCGTAGCTCGGCATCTGTCTCTTGACCTCCCCCGAGTGTCCCTAAAAAGCTTGAGAGCTTGAGAGCTTGTGTGCTACCTTGAATGGCTGGATTCTTAACAGAGAAAGCAGCTCACGCTGCTGGAATCCCATAATGCGCGAAAATTCTCAGCAGAATCACGCGCGCGAAGCCAACGAGAGAGACCAATCACAGCGCCAATTCCGTTCTTTTCCGTGAATGGCTATGATGGCTGGTCTCAAACTTTCTAGGCTGTGAAATGCTCTGATTGGCCGCGCGTTCTGTTCTGCTAGACTGCGTTCGAGAACCTGTCGCCTTGGTTTAAAGCCAGAGGCACACGGAGCGTTTTTTTTTTTTGCTAGTTTACTTGCGTTATCCTATGTTGGCTATTTTGCTGGCTGTCTTGAAATGACTCCTCTGCTGACCACGTTGCTGGCTGTTCTGCTGGATTTTCGTAATAGATCAGGTGCTATTTTTCTTGAGTGGTCTTGTGTTGGTTCATTGTAAGGACCAATCAGGACGTTGCCTCAGTTCCTATGACCAAAGTTTTCACTTTAAAAGTATCGTTTGTCAAATGAGACGGAATTACGACATCCACTACGTATAAAAGAAATGAAAGTGAAAAAAAGAAATAGATAAATGAAGCCATTAGTAGTTTGATAGAAGCTTAAAGCTCGCACCGTGTAAAGCCAAACCAACATTACGGCCAGCAGTGCTACCAACATAGCTGCCCACACGGCAGCAAATCCAGCTAGCAATCCAGCAAGAAAAAATGTTCCGTGTACCGCTGGCTTCATTATCGTTACTCGCATCACCGTTCGAGAACTCTAAGTTGCGTTCGGAAATCCACATTGTGTGCACACCTCAGTCACTGAAGTCACAAAAGCATACCAAAAAGTGATGTTTCCGAACATAGCTTGGGTGTTACAGAACAGCTGGTGTTTAGTAATGTGCACACAGTGTGGATTCCCGAACGCAAATCTAGTGCGTCGTCGCCCGCGTTATAGCTTCTGTCCACATCAACATGATGTTTTTCGGTAATGGCTTCTGTCCACAGGACGTGATAACGCTTGCCGCGTCTTGGGCAGAAGCCATAAGAAGTTTATTGGTTACCGCGCTAACTTTCCTCGTGCAGCAAGCGTTGCCACATCCTGTGGGCGGAAGTTATTAATGCGTTCGATAACTAGTTAGAACTAATGTCTATAAAAGAGGTGTCACACCATGTCACACCACGGTCTTCATTTTACCAGGGCTAATAATCTAAACTCTGAACAACACGCGTATGCATGTAGAGTACCATAGTTATTGAAAATTGCTCCAGCCCAAGTTAAAGTTAAGCAAGGTTAGCAAAAAAATAATAATTGGAAATAAAAGCATAGGGAAACGCTTCTGACATAAATCACTTAAAAACGGCCATTTCATTTGCACCAATATGATATTTGGAAAAATTGAAGAAGTTGACCTTGAAGTATCATTTCGATCTTGACTCTGAAAAGTTAAAATGATCTGAAGATCATCATCGAATGATCCTCTCGATACCGAATGAACATATTTTGTAATTTGACCTAATTCTAATAACAGATAAGAAGGAGTGATAAAATAAATAATATTACATACAGTGGCTAACGAAAGTATTCGAACGGTTAGATTTCTTATCTTTAGCAAATAAAATATGTATGTTAATCCTGAATATTTAAAACAATTTAGTGTCTATAGCAAGAAGGAAGTCCCAAGATTATGTTAGTAAAATTAGAAAATAATCCAATCGCATATATAGTGTTTACGACAGATTTTCTTGAAATACGCACCAGGCATGGGTAACAAAAGTATTCGAACGCCGGAAATATTGTTACATTTTTATCTGTAATCTCTAATCTACTAAAAACAATATATGAGAAACGTAAACATATAATTTATTTACACATTTTTTACATTCGTGTGACATCTTTTTTGTAGAAACAATATCTCTCTTACAGACATATTTTTTTGTTTTTTACACATTTTTCTGATAGAGGCGATATTATATCACTGTCCTACACATGCAATACAAATTTGCTTTTCCGCTCCGCAGTTCAGTTTTTCGGTTACAAAATGTTTTCCGCAGTTATCAAATCTAAATGTTCACGTGTCACTGTCATGGTGCGAGCAGTACTGTTATTATTTTTTAACGCATATTTTATAACGCAAATTGAATTTAATGTCTCAGTCGATATATCATTCCTTTTCCTCGTATTCGCATCTGGTATAACAGAAATTGCACGCTTAGTCTCAGCATTTGAGTGAGGGAGAGCTCTCACAACACTAAGAAGTGAACGCAAATTTGGAAAACAAGATTCGTTTCTTTCGTCATTCGTAGAAAAGAAGCCAATCTTCATCCACATATCGTCGAATGATAACTTGGACAACTCGTTTTTCGTACGTGGGTCAATTTCATATAAAAATTTCCATTCATTTTCAATCGAGTCTTCGTCAAGTACGTCGCATAATCTGCGTTTAACTTGAAGCACTTTACGAAATGTGGAATTTCGATCACAATCGAATAACGCGGATCTACTTGCAAATACATTAACTAGTTGCAAAAAAGTATCATCGACAGGGAGATGATTGCGAATGTGTTCACTTGCTTTAACATAAAATTGCAAGCAGTATTCTCGAACAAGACTGATGTCTGTCTCAGACAGAATTCCCTGATTCAATTGGCCTTGCAAATATTCATTACACTCGACACCAAAATCAATTTCCTCTAAAGAGAGCTGATTAATGGGATCGGAGAAATTCAAATTCCTTACGGTATGGTTACAGGATATTTCGGGGTCTAATAATAATAAGTTGGGTTTGATAAACTTTTTAAGGAACCAAAACAGCAATTCCATCGAAGAAGTTTGCAACTCGTGAATGACGGTATTTCGTGTTTGGAATTTAGCATTGTACTTATTGAAAGCGTCAAGTGTAAATTCTAAAAAGAAAAAATAAGCTTTTGTCGTAGGATTCCGAAAAATTGAGATTAGATCATCGTCTGTAGGACGAATATTTTTGCATGTCTGTTCCATCAAAAAATTACCCAAGGCATTCCACATTTCCAAAATTCTTTGAATAAACTTGTGACGCATTTGCCAACTCATTTCAGCATATTTCAAAATTGTCAGGGATGATTTTTCATCAAAGGACGTGATAAAATCTCGAAAAATAGCTGTCTTTTTTGAGCTACCACTGATGAATGTAGAAATACCTTTGATAAAATGTTCACAATCTCGAGGAAGTATTTTGCAGGCCTCTTTCGCCGCCACCATTGAAGAATGGCACACACAAGGAAGTATAACAAGATCTGGATTCTTTGCGCTTAATATTGTTTTGAAAGAACAATTTTTATCCTCCGCCGTCGCTGAAGCATTATCGCAAGCAAGACTAACGATCGATCGAAGTGAAATGTTCTTTTTCAACAATTCATTTTTGAAAGATTTGAAGATCTTGCTAGCGGAACAATCGATTGCATCCAAGTGAATCATTTGGAGTAATTCACATCTAACATTTAACGTTTTCGGTTCTATATATCGGACCATTAGTGACAGCCATTTACCGTTCCTCTTATCTGACGTTTCGTTCTCATAAATTGAAAATTTATGTTCTCTTAAAACTTTAGTAATTCTATTTGTTTCCTCATGACAAACATTATTAGTAATCTGTGTTAATTTTTTCTTCTCTAAATACATTGTCTGTAAAATACCGTGTTCATTTCCAATATCTTTCATTAGTGAGAGTAAATCAGATATGATTGTAAACGATACATTCTTTTCAACGAAGAAGGTAGCTAATCTTAATTCAGCAATTTTTACACGATCGTTAAAATCAAAATCCTTTCGTGAGTGGGACAAAGATTTAATCATCTCAGATTGTTCTAAATTAACCGTTTCTATGGAAGATGTTCTATTTGTTATTTCGAAATTGCTAATATTACAATCCAGATTTTGTGCCTTCATATTTTTCAAATGACTTTCTCTTCTAGAATGTTTCTTTATTTCTGAAACACCACAAGCCAATATAGCTTTGCAGGCCTTGCAGAAAAATTTTGAAGGTTCATTAGGAACTTCTTTTACCCAATTTCTCCATGAAGGATTATCATCGAACCATTGATATTGAAACCGTTTGGAATAAACTGTTTTGGACTTGTTTTTAACAAGTTTTTTATCATCCATTTTAACAGAGGGTTGATCAAACAATTTTATCAAACAATTTTTTTATCAAGTATCACAACAGTAATCGAGTTGAAGAATAATATAATTATACATTTGTCATTATTCAGTTCAATCGTGAAACAATAAATATGTGTTCGCCAAATGCATAGCTTTATAATTTATGTGTCACAAAATCGTAAAAAAGATTTTTAACTACAGCTGCTACTTTTCAATAGCAAGAGACATCACAGACACGGTGTGTAACCGAATGTAGTTCAACACAAAATGTTCTAAGTACACACAGTATTAAATTTAAAACGTCACAGTAGACAGCCTGGTTTTTGCTCGTTAAATTGCTGTGTGTGCTGTGTATGTGTATGTATGTGTGTGTGTAGCTTACATCTTCTTTTTCTTGCTTTTCAGGTGGCTTCTTCGGCAACCCTCATGGGCACGGAGCGCCGAACACGCTATTTTCCTATTGACAATTGTTAATTTTGATATTTAATTACTTAATTGGATGATTAGTTAGATAATTTTACAGATTAGACCTGATTCGATTATTACCGAAGCAAGTATAATATATTAAAAAAGAAAAAATACGCGTTCACTAAAGAACTAGAAATCCAGAAAACCATATCTGCACATTATGATGAACAAACAAAAATTGAAGTAGTACGAAAGCAACTTACCGACTATAAAACTGGAGATTGTATAGTCACACTACACTGCTACTGACTGACGATGCTAGGCTAGACGTTCTAAAACCCTATTCTCAATCATAGGTCAGCAATTTTTTATTGCTGCATTGGTAGCACACTAACTTGCACTACTACTACTAGTTCTCTTATGACTTCTGTGCACAGGACGCGGAATTGCTTGCCACGCGGCAAGGAGTGATGCGGCAGCCAATAAACTTTTAGTTCTAGTGGAAAAACGACACGTTGATAGGCTACCGCGTGAATTTCCGCCGCGCGGTAACATTGCCGCGTCCTGTGGGCAGAAGCCATTATCCTCCCTTTCCCACAAAATCTTAAGAAGATGTGAAGCTTCATATTTTTTTTATTTTCTCAACCTCAGCACGGGATCTATCGTATTCGTACCCAGCCGCTATTTAATAATTCAAATAAGCCACATTAGTTAATAATTTTTATTTTATTAAATAATAACTATTAACTCATAACTCTAGTACTAAGAGCGACCGTCAAAAACATACTCAAATATCACCCGATTAGGAAAATTCCCCACATCTAGGAGAAACACCCACAAGTCAACTCGCTTTGAAAATCTAATGGCTTTACCCACAGAACGCGGCAATGCTTGTTGCGCGACGGAAGTTCGCGCGGTAGCCAATCAACATGCCGTTTCTTGATAAGAACTAAGAGTTTATTGACTACCGTGCGAACTTCCGCCGTGCGGCAAGCGTTGCCACGTCCTGTCGGCAGAAGCCATAAGGCAAATACTCATGCACTCCCGTTGATATATTATATGTATATTTCAGTGGTTTAGTCTGTCGAATTTTTCACGAAGCTTTAGACGAATACGTTAATATTGACAGACGTACAATAAGTATTACGTATTAAAATGGGTTTAAATCCAGCTACAAAGCAGAGAATAGCCATTGTCCTGAATGTGAGCAAATTTGCATTTCAGTGGGGTTTTATTCCTGCCGTTCTTTATTTAGGTTAGATCTTAAACTTAATGAAATGGATATTTCTTATGTGCACGACTAAGTAAAACTACGTAAATTGATATTGGAATTATAATATTTTTCATTTTTAGGTTTTAGCAAAGGTGCAGATCCAGGCATGCCTAAATTAACTCTTATGAAGTAAGTGGACTAATTAAAAAGTTAAAATAAAAATAATTATCTGATCATGTCGTCAGAAGTTTCTTTTTGAATTAAATATTTTTCATGAATAGTAGATTGTGTGCTATGTTGAATGTTAATATGTAAAATTGTTTTTTAGCTTATTATGGCAGTGAGATCTAACCACAAATATATATACTTCTATTTCACAAAAAGTATGTGCAAAAAATCATCAATATTGCATAGATATATCAAAGATTGTCTTATCTCCCATCGTATTTCCCATCAAACTAACAACCAGATAATGTATTGTTAAATATGTGTGTACTTATTAAATAATATACAATATGAAAATAGTAAATAATTATTTTATTTCTCGAAAGATTCATGACAAAATCATAAGAAAAGAGGTTAGAAAAATAAATTTCATATCAAATTAATTTTGCAACTATTTTTTGATAGTTCGAATAAAAGTGTTCGGACAATTTTAACAATTTTGTGTTGAATTGATCACAAGTATCATTTTGTGGGAACATTTTTTTATTTGAACGTATAACGCAAGAGTTGTTGGCGTGTATTTTCTTCTGACGTTATTAGATAAGAATGCTTGCAACGAGGGAGTAAGAGCCTTAAAGATAAAAAATACACCAAAATCTTCGGCAAATGTTTGGAAGTACTACTCCACTGAAAGTCGCGTTTCTTCTGGTAGTAATCAATAAAACAAATTATAAAAAGATATTTAACGTTAATTAACGTTTTAAAGAGGGGACATAAGGGGCATTTTTACCTGACAATTTAAGTTTTATTTTCTGTCGAACTTCTTTTTTTACACATCTATATTCTAACCACATCTACATTCTATATTCTAACCATACATACACTTATAATCTAACCGAGATCGAAATAAAAAACATTGAAAGAAATGAAAAAATTGATGGACGTTTTTTTTCAAAATTACTTTGGTACGACATATACTGCAGTTACGACATATTCGACTGNTATATATATATACACATACATTTATGTGTATATATAAATATATATATATAAATATATATATATATATATATATATGTGTGTGTGTGTGTGTGTATGTGTGTGTGTGTGTGTGTGTGTGTGTGTGTGTATGTAAGTATTGCCTGTTAAATTTTTTAAAAACAGAAATGTTAAATGTAATAATACTATAAACAATAAGTATTGTTGTAAGAATGTCCGTTATTTTTTTACAGAGACATTAACCCTTTTAGTGCCGAGCAAAAGTATCGTACCTATGCGAAAAATACCGAGCCAATTTGACGAATTTGCTAAGGTTTGGGAAAAAGCTCATAAAAACCAAACTAAAAATGATATTTACAAAATTCAAAAAGCAGCATATTACGAAATAAAGAAAGAATAAAGTAATGCCAGTTGTATTTCAATATTTGTTGAAAATCATACGAATAACATCAATATAAAACATGATGAAAAACAGAAACAAGTTTCTCTTCTACAAACAATATTTGCACATAAGAATAATCATCGTTTGATCACAGTTTTATGTAGATCACGTAGTATGAAGTATAAGTGTTACATTTTCAATCATTTTTAACAAAATAACTAATATCAGACCTGAGAATGAGTTTCTACCTTATCGCTCCAGCGTATACAGAGCCTTGGCACCAGCATAGAATATAACAAAAAGTTAAACCCAAAAACAATTTTTTAAATTCTTTTGCAATGAAATTAGACCGTTTATAATGTTTTATAAATTTATTTTGAGATAGAGTTTTCTCGCAATGCGAATAGTAAGACGCCCTCGGATACGCGACGATATATCGTCGTGAGGCACTAAAAGGGTTAAATAATTATATATATATATATATATATATTTTTTTTTTATTGCTTTTTTCGATAGTACATTGCGTATCATCTAATTTTCAAATTTGAAACTCAGTTCTAAGATGGAATCATTCCTTATTTCTTCTTCGTTTGAGAAGCTGTACGACGATTATGATTGCCTTGTGAACTCTTATATGTATTTTTCTTATGTCCTTTAGAAGTAGAAACATCTTTGTCTTGCTCTTGACTTCCAGATTTCCCTTAAATAAAAGAGGAAGAAATGCGTATGTTACATTACGTACCTTAGCGTGTATATATATATTTGTGTGTGTGTGTGTGTGTGTGTGTGTGTGTGTGTGTGAGCGCACGCACTCACATATAAAAATGAATGAACTTATGATTTCAAGTATTATAACCGATAAAAAAAAATATCTTTTTAATAAAGAGATTTTCTTTACATTTACATGATAAAAAATTGATCTTTTTATTACATATTTGTCAATACGCTTCAATAGCTTAAAGTAGTTGCCTGTAGAATAACTGAACCTGGAGAAGCAGATTCTCTGCTGTAAACTTTTGATGACAGAGCAGCAACAAATCTGATACAGAATTTGTTCTATTCGACGATGTTACTAAATCGCCAGAAATCTGACTAGAAGCTTGCTCATATGACTATACTATGCCAACACGACAGATTGACGACAGAAACCGAGCGTCAAACCTTGTTGCGCGTAGCATTTTGGCGACAGGTTCTGTCGCCAATCTGCCGTCAAACACATGTCAGCAAACTCTATCGACAGAACACACATAATCTCAATACAGATCGCACGCACACACACAAATATCTCTGAATTTGTCGACAGATCTTGATCGAATCTGTCGCCAATCTATTGGCAGACTGCTAACAGATTGCTGACTGGGTAGTGGTGGTGGTGGTAGTGGTGGTAGTAGTAGTAGTAGTAGGTAAACCTATCTTCTCAGAAATCTTTTCAAATTTTAACAGCATGTTATAAACATTTAGTACATACACAGATTTATCTAACTGTGCTTCTTCGTGTTGTATTAACCATTCTAATTGTATCGTCATGGATCACTAACTACCTTAATAAAATTGTTAAGAAATGCTAAGAAAAATGTACACACACAAATGAGTACATACACAAATGAGTTTGAACATACCTACTACATTAGATGAATATTTACATCCTGTTGTTGATTGTTTCCGTTGTTCTGTTTTAGCACACAATTCCATTGGGTTTAATACAAAATGATCGATGTTTTGTATTAACTTTTCATTTTCAACTCCTATTTCGTCTTCGGAATTAGTATCATATTTATCACTTGTGCTAAGAATCTGAAAATAAGATTTGTCATGTATATTGTAAGAGTTAATATTCATAAATTTATTATGAAATTATTTATTAAAACTACTATTATAAAATATTTAAACCAACTGTTGAAGTAGGAAAAGCCCTAGAATCTATTTCTGTGCAATCTGTTGCGTTATTTCGAATATTATGGATATCATATGTGTCATCATATTCATCATCGTAATCATCTATAATATTATATTTCTGATAAATGGATTTGTCAATTTCAGATTTATCGTTCAACATTTCATTTGCATCCTTGTATTTTTTTTTTCTAGAAAAAAAGATGTTTATTCAATGTAATAGAATTAGTATTAAAAATTTTTTGACACAATCTATATAAAGTTTTATATAGATTTGTGTGTGTGTGTGTGTGTGTGTGTGGGTGTGTGTGTGTGTGTGCGCGCGCGCGCGTGTATATATATGTGTATAAATTTACTTTTTTCCTTTATAAGTTTTCGGTAGAGCTGGAACATCAAATTCATCGTTATCGAAAATATTTAATCTTCGAACATCTGTAGCGGAATTTATAGCAACTGGTGATTTCTAAAAGCACATAACATAGATAAAATGTGTTTTTTCATTATTATATAATAAAACTTATACAATCATATGTTATATACTTATACAATCATAAGTTATTTACCATTGGATCTGGTGGTACGCATAGTAATGTTTCATTTAATTTTTTCAAATTAGGTGGTAAAGTGTTTTCTAGAACAGCATTTATCACAGATGCAACGTTATAACTATAATGTTTTAAACACATCTGGAAGTTTTAGAGAGAAAACAATTGTCATATATAAATTTAGATATATATAAATTTTACAAACATTATGTAATATACTTTATTACAATACTTATAACTTGCTAAGATAGTATTTGAAACAATATTACAAAATACTTTATTATAGTTTAATGTAAATACCAGAATTGGAAAAGTTACTTTTGAAAAGTAACACATTTTATTATCGTTTCTCGTTACCATTGAATAAAATGTAATTTATTACAGTTATCCAGTTATCCAAGAAATAATCAATCGTTATAAAATTTTGAAGACTTTTTTTAAGATTCGCTTCTGTCCATTAAATATACATGTATCGTAAATGTACAAAGTAATAATGGTAAAAGTAATAATTATATTTGTTACCTGTATCTATCTAAAAAAAAAATATAATTGTGTGCAATTAATGCGTTACTTGTAAACTTTGTGTAAATATTCAATGCTTTGTCAAATATTTTTAAGTAGTTTAACTTTTATTTATTCATAATGACAATTTAATCTAATATAATCATTTTTTTCCTTTTTACATCTTTAAAACATAAAATCGAGCATTAAATGTCAGTAAGCAGTATTGTCCGGTAGAAAAACCAACTATACAATGGTAACACAACATCAACTTTATAATTTCCCACACAACAATGTAAATGTTATATATGATGTATAATATATAAGCGTATATAATGCACGATATATCATGTAACAGTTATATTGTTGGGTAAGAAATTATAACATTGATTTTACGTTACTAATAATTGGTGTTTACTCCGTGTTAATACACATGCATATAATTATTTTATAAAATTACGATGTAGTTTTCTATCGTGCTAATGTTAAATATACGAATGGAACTTTTACCTGTATGAAATCTTCATTATAACCACATAAGATTTCTTTTACTTTTAAAATAAGAGACGTCAAATCGTCAGAATCATTCGAAATAC